TTTTTGCCAAATCTGCATTTATTAGAAGGGTAGATTAAATTCCTCGTTTCAGACAGCTATGCGGCAATCTGTATTAACATCTCGAATAATCTTTTGTTGCGTGCTCGAGGGATATTTCGACGAGTGAGACGTTTCTCTTTCAACGTTATCAATTTTTTCAATCGTACGAAATTTCTCGAGGGCAACTTCTTTGAAATAAAGTATCGCATCGAATAATGAAATAATTTGTCATACTTGGCAGGGCAGAACAAGGATATTACTAGAATGTTTGAAAATGTGTAAAATTAGTTTTCCACTCGTTCAATTAAAATTAGCGATTTCTTTTTTTCTCCAAATTTTCTTTAAAAACTGTACATTCAATTGCAAGGATGTGATCAACGGAGGAGAGGAACTGTACCAGTAGGATCACGGAGGGACGAGTAGGTTTGTTGGTACGGCGCGCGCCGCGGTAACGAGGCGCTCCAGCGGCTTAATTAGATTAATTAGATTGCAGCCGAGGCGGATCGCGCGTTCCGAGACCTGTCGTGATCCACGATCGCCTCCGCTGACGTTACGTTTTCATTTCTACGCGATTCATTGCCCGCTTCATTAGCGAATCGAAGCGTGACCGAGCACTCCTTTCAACGTGATATCCTCCGATGCTAAGTACCGATTGTAATTCGCCGTATATTTACCGTAGATAGATAACTCCGATGAACGAGCATGTCAATTTTTGTTCACCTTTCTTTAATCGCATCTGCGAATAGTGAAATTAATTGCAAATATTTATCAATGAATTTTCAATTCGACGATAAATCATTCTCCAAGCACACGAAAAAAATGAACGAGCAACAGCATGTATAGCAACATTACTTCGATTCGTTCTGACTTCATTATCAATCTTTCACGACGATCGAGGTAACACGATTTTTGTCGCCTGCACGCCATTTCTCGTCCAGTTGGCCGCATTTATAAATAGGTTTTTCGGGCGTCGTAGTATCGGTCGCGACGCGTCACCCTGAGCGGGAGCGCATGCTAATTTTACTAAATCGTATATCAAAAGCGTAATCTACCGTGCGCGGCGCCGTGGAATCCTTAACGATGTAATTAATATGTAAACTGTAAAATCTGTCCGGCAGAGTCGGCTCCTATAAATATGTATGCGACAGATCGGACCCGGTGCATTCTTCATTATAGATCGCAAGCAACACGGCCATTTTGCCGCGGTGATTCTTTCTTCTTTTGCTGCTTTTTTTCTCGAAACGTCGACCCCGGGAGGAATGATCACGTGGAACGGTTCGCGTTTTCGATCTCACGGCGTCCTTTCGACAGGCTTCGTTGATTCCGTAATTAATAACGACAACGTTGAATTTCCAAGCCGATGAATATTTATGGGAGGCCAACGTGTGAGAGAGAGAGAGAGAGTACCCGTACGCACATTGTTGCGATTTCGACGCCAACTTTCGCGCTGTTCACCGTGAAGAAACGCCCTCGAGACACGAATTATCGCGGATAATTCATTTGATCGTATATCAGGCTTGTTGCGCGGTCGCGCGAAGTAATTAATATATAAATGGATGTTGCGCTCTCGGGAACGGACGCCTATAAATATTTATGGATTCTATTATTCAACCGGTGAAACGAGCGAACGACGAAGAAGATTCGCGCGGTTTCGACGGGTAATCTCGAGGAGAGCGAAAAAGACGAATCGCGCGAGACAAGAGTTATCCACATTTTCGAGTTCGCTATGTCAAGATTGAACTATTTCACACTTGACACTGCAAATTCGTCTCCCTCACGCACGTCCAAGTATCAAAATTCGCGTGCCCAAGTGCTGTAGCTCGAGCAGTTAAACGAAAAGAAGTTTCTCAACTTTGTAACTGAAAACCAGTTGCTTCACCTCTCACAATGTACTGTACACTTAACGGAGACGTAAAAACACGATTAAAAAACGAGCAATCACCGCAGAAACGAATTACAAATAATATTACTCGGTCGAATGATAAATCAGATTAACTTATCCATTGAAAAATCGAACCGTAGCCGGAAGGAGGATAAATCCAGCGGAGTCTCTCGGAGCCTGCAAGGTTTCTCCGGGACCGAGTCTGCGAACGATCTCTCTTCCTCCTCTCGGGCCGCACAAAAACCTTCCCGCTGGGCCGACTTTTTGGTCGTTAATTAGTTGCATTTTTTTACGATCCCTTGGCTGCGCGTTGCACACACGTGCAGCGTAACAGCTCTCGCCGGAGGAACGAGAGATACGGGACGAGAGGAGGCGAACGAAGACGGTTGGACGAGGATGAAGAAAGAGGGAGATAGTCGGAGAGAAGACGAGAAGCCGATGGCAGAAGGTAATGGAGGAAGAATATGAAGGAGGAGGAGGAGGAGGAGGAAGATGGCCAGCGGTTGGCCTGGTAGCGCGAGAGTTAATTTTTAAAGCACGCTTCGTCGTCCACCATCGGCGGCATAATGTTCGGCATTGTGCGTGTTCCGCGGTGGCTTTTCACCGGTACACTTCGAGTCCCTTTTCGACAGACGTATGCGGCAATCACCGCGAAATACGCCCGCCATGCGGCGCTGGGACCGTTTAACCGTAATTACCGGTCATGCTCCTAAGTATTCATTAACGGGAGGCCTCCGCGTTGTCCCTTGTGGGAGCGACAGGTTAGATCGATGCCGGCGCGCGGGACCTCTTCTGCATTGTGTCGAATCGCGCCGCGACTCGATCATCCCGTCACACCGGGGATAATTAAAAGACCATCTCAGGAGCTGGTGTTAATGATCCTGGGAAAGTCGGACGGGGGCTCTCTCTCCATGGGAATCTTCGACGTGTCGTGTAGCGTGGAAATTACACCCTCGGAATCATTTGTTTTACGTGGAAATCGGTGTTCTCGTTAAATCGTTAAGAAGGAAAATTGATCTCGCGTAGTTGAAAAGTTGTATCCCCCACTGTCTCTAAAAAAATACTATCATTATTAACCGAACGCGATGAAATCGGCGAATCGAGTCACACAGCAGCGCGCGACAGAAGATTCCGTGTCGTCTCACGAGCAAACTTCTCAGCTCAGCAGAGTACGCTATAAAGAAATCGCTTCGCCACGGGACCAGAATACCGGCCGATAAGGTGACGACAGCGGCCATCTGGAGTCGTCGGGGCAATTTCAGATGACATTACGTACACGAGGATAACACCCTCGAATCGACGTGTTAAAGCTCCATTTAGCCGCGCTCACGGTCAGGGTAACCGTGCTCGTACTTTCTCCCTGCCGTGTGGTTGCTCGTGGGAGAGACACCTGCGCTGATCCCCTGCACACCTAACTTCTTCGCCGCTTTCTCGCAACGACAAACCGATGCAGTGTATTGCTTTAACGCGCTATAAAATCTGCATAAGGGTTAGCCCGCGGCTGGTAACGGGGTAGTGAGGAGAGGGAGGCGAAGGGGCAAGCCATCCACGAAGAGAGGACACAGAGAGGAGAAGGAGGGGAAGAAGGAGGAGGAGGTGGGGTTAATTAAAAAATTCAGTAGCCAGGGTAAATGAGGAAAATTAAATTTTATGGGCACGCGGTTAATCCCGTCGTGCGAGCACGTATTTATTGGCTACCGGAGGCTCGGCTCGATCGAGCCTGACGTAATGGGAACGATTTTCGGGAAGGACCATCGGCCTTCGATAAGATAAGCATCCTACGCGAGCTCGCCTCTTTTTTACGACCGTTCTCGCCGTACACCCGTCGACGTTCTTCGACACCTCGGTCCATCCTCGTCTCATCCTCCTCCTCCTCCTCCTCCTCTCTCTTTCTCTCTGTTCCTTCCGTTTCTCTGCCTCTTCTCTCGACCGGGGTCGTATAATGGCCGCCTGTTTGTCGGATCGTGCAACAATTAGAATGCAAATCTACTCTCTCTCTAGGTCCATTCGACGCGTGTAAAATTTTACTCTCTCGACGTCTCGTGGGCGCTTTGTGTGCGTGTGTGCCTGTTCGTCGCGCGATTATCGGTTGTCTCGTATTCTTTCGGTGCCTACTCCGAGAACCCGTAAAATTCCCGTGGTTTTCGGTGAATAAATCTGCAACGATGAAAATTAGCCGGTGCTCCGGTTTAATTAATGCGACCGTTCGGTAATTTGGCTAACGAACCGAGCTCGTTTTTGACAATTACCCGAAATCGAGGCTGCTAATGAGGATGTTAAGCAGGTGGAGGTTGTTGCGATGTTAAGTAGTCGGTTTAAGTGCGCGTTTCTGATACTTGGTTGGATTGGGGAATAATTAACACGTCGCGCAGTAATTCTCTTCGACGTGGCAAGGGAATGAAGTGTTTAAAGGCTTTGGAGTGTTCGTTTTTCCTTCTTTTCTTTTTCGTGGGACGATTTTAACACGGTACCGATAAATTCACACGACAATAAGATTGGTTGGTTCGAGAGACGTTGCAACGGTTTCGCCGCAACTGCCTATAGAACGAGAACGGAAAGATACAGAGATTCTTACCGGGCTGGAAATACGACGGTATTAAAGTCGGTTTTACATCGGGCAGGAATGGATACGAGCCGGTTAACGTCGATCGTAGCGGGGATTTTCCTCGTCCGACCCCCGTCCGGATTTGCCCCTAATAGCGATTCTTACGAGTTTCGAGGCATCGCGGAGTTTCCCG